TAAAAAGTCTACTTAGCGCCGTCGACTTCATTTCATTTCAATTCCATTCATATCATTAGTATGCCTTTCCGAGTCTAACCAGTGCTTCCCCGGTCATCTCTCGTCCACTAACCGCCCCCCACCACCACCACCACCACAAACTAAGCCAGGAATATAAAGGAATTCCATCTATTGTTATATTCATATTTGCCAGCCATACATAATAACACGGCGACAGTTTTAGTGTCTCTGAATCTGGTAACATGACAGAACTTTCCCTTGGGAGGAAATAAGCTTATATACTATACGTAACATTAGACAGAACATAAAGCTTTTTTAAATATCAAGATGAATCATGAAACTATATAATGTATTAAAGTGACCCATAAAGCTTTATAATATATTAAAATGACTCATAAAGCTCCATAATATATTAAAGTGACTCATAAGGCTTTATAATATATTAAAGTGACTCATAAAGCCTCATAATATATTAAAGTGACTCATGAAGCTTTATAATATATTTAAGTGACTCATAGGGCTTTATAATATATTAAAGTGACTCATGAAGCTTTATAATATATTAAAGTGACTCATAAAGCTTTATAATTTATTAAAGTGACTCAAGAAGCCTTATGATACATTTATATCAATATGACTCGTGAAGCTTCATAATATTCGGATGACTGGCAGGGGACTTGGATAGACTAACACAGGCGTCTCTCCTTATCTACTAACTGTTGTGACTGATAAGAAACTCGGATAGACTGACTGACTGGTACAATTAACTCACTCTCTCTCTCTCTCTCAAACTGCTATTATATGACTAGATAAACAGGCTTATATTTCTTTGGTCTCTACATATACTGTATTTATTTTACGTAGGTATGAATAACTGGAGAGAAGAGAGAGAGAGAGAGAGAGAGAGAGAGAGAGAGAGAGAGAGAGAGAGAGAGAGAGAGAGAGAGAGAGAGAGAGAGAGAGAGAGAGAGAGAGAGAGAGAGAGAGAGAGAGAGAGAAGAGAAGAGAAGAGAAGAGAAGAGAAGAGAAGAGAGAGAGAGAAAAGAGAGAGAGAAGAGAAGAGAAGAGAAGAGAGAGAGAGAGAAGGAGAGAGAGAGAGAGAGAGCAGGCCAGTAATCAATACAAGACGTAGGATCTCTACACCGAGTAACAGCTGAAATCCCAGTTTGGGGGAACAAGAGCAAGTTGTTATGGTGTGTCACGTGGTCTGTCTGCTTATCTATCTATCTATCTATCTATCTATCGACCTTACAATCTCTATCTATCTATCTATCTATCTATTTATCTATCTATCTATCTATCTGTCCGTCTGTCTGTCTGTCTGACTACTTCAAACCGGTATTATCATAACCATCATTATTTTCTTCATCAAACTACATGACCTACAGTACGATAGTTAATAACCTACTTCAACCTACGTCAAATCTACTGGATCATCTACCTCAACCCACGTCAACTATACAACCCGCATCTACCATCTACTTCAACCCACGGCAACTGTATGCTATCTTCCACTCCAAACTACTGTATAGTGTCAAGTGGTCTACCCTCCCTCCCTCCCTCCTTCCCCCTCAACTCCCACCACTTTACATCATCATCATCATCATCATCATCATCATCATCATCATCATCATCATTAAACTTCAACTGTTGTGTCATATGGACTATCATCATCACTACCACCACTACTACTACTACTGCACCCTAATATGAACCATGAAGGCGTATCTGACACATATACTAAGTTCTGCCACCTAACCCCCCCACCTCGTATGACACCCAAACGTGCTATAGTGTCTTAAAAGAGTGATAATTGACACTTGAATGGATAGAGTAATAATTGACACTTGAATGGATAGTGATAATTGACACTTGAATGGATTGAGAATGTGGCCACCTTCAAATACAAACATAATTAAATAATATACATAACTTATTGAATCATATTTATCATTAATGTTAAAAGTACAAATTAGTGACTCATTTACACGTGAAGGATACATTCTATACTGACTTGTATGTGACAGAAACGTGAACATATATCAATAAATATGTGTTGTCTCAAGAGTAAGGGGTAAAAAATATAATATGGTGTAAAAATATAAAAAAAGTTGTGTTTGTGTAGAAGTTATGGAAAAATAATGTGAATAAGTATGAATAAAATAATTATTCTTGGTATAATTCACCCAAGAGCTGAAGAATCAATCAGTTTTCACGACCACTAACACGACCAGATGATGTATAGTGCTACACGACCACCAACACGACCAGATGATGTATAGTACTACGACCACCAACACGACCAGATGATGTTTAGTGCTACACGACCACCAACACGACCAGATGATGTATAGTGCCACACCACCAAACGACCACCAACACGACCACCAACACGACCAGATGATGTATAGTACTACACGACCACCAACACGACCACCAACACGACCAGATGATGTATAGTGCCACGACCACCAACACGACCAGATGATGTATAGTGCCACGACCACCAACACGACCAGATGATGTATAGTGCTACACGACCATCAACACGACCAGATGATGTATAGTGCTGCACGACCAACACGACCAGATGATGTATAGTGCTACACGACCATCAACACGACCAGATGATGTGTATAGTGCCACGACCACCAACGACCACCAACACGACCAGATGATGATAGTGCTACACGACCATCAACACGACCATCAACACGACCAGATGATGTATGTGCTACACGACCATCAACACGACCAGATGATGTATAGTGCTACACGACCATCAACACGACCAGATGATGTAAGTGCCACGACCACCAACACGACCAGATGATGTATAGTGCTGCACGACCACCAACACGACCAGATGATGTATAGTACTACACGACCACCAACGACCAGATGATGTACATTACTACACGACCACCAACACGACCAGATGATGTATAGTGCTACACGACCACCAACACGACCAGATGATGTATAGTGCTACACGACCATCAACACGACCAGACGATGTATAGTGCTACGACCACCAACACGACCAGATGATGTATAGTACTACACGACCACCAACACGACCAGATGATGTACATTACTACACGACCATCAACACGACCAGATGATGTACATTACTACACGACCACCAACACGACCAGATGATGTATAGTACTACACGACCAATACAGTAAATACAGGTGGAACAAACGAAAGCGATTCTGTATTCTGCATTCAATAGTGGATCATAATTACAGTAACTTCTCACTCTCAGTAAATAACGAATACATAAATATCTATCTCTGTATTTTGAAATGTTCGTGTGTCTGTCATTCGTTAGTGAATTAAAACTAACTTTCTCTGTAGCTCGGGTTGTACTATGTTTAATTAATACTTCACCTGATACATCATCACACATCAGCCAACTCCTGTACACAAACTCAACCATTTCCAGTGTTTTTGGTTTTATACTTTCTTGATGGCGTGGTTTAGTTTTTATATCTTATACATTATAGCTTTGTTTTTCTTTTTAGAATAAGAAAATCTTTCTATTTCCAAGAAGGCTCCATTATTTCCAAGAAGGTTCCATTATTTCCAAGAAGGTTCCATTATTCCCTAGGAGCTGCCATTATGTCCTGGAAGCATGCATTATTTCCTGGAAGAGTCCATTATTTCCATAAACTTGTGTAATATTTTCAGAAACCTCCATATTTCCTTCCTGAAGCCCTCACTAGTCTCTACAGGTTCTTACTAGTTCTGGAAACCTCCCTTAGTCTCCGTAACCCTCTGTAAGTTCCAGTAAACCTCTAATACTCCCTGGAAGCCCCTAACACCCTCTGGAAGCATTTATTATTCCATGCAACCTTTTATCCGTATCTATCTATCTATCTATCTATCTATCTATCTATCTATCTATCTATCTATCTATCTATCTGACTTGTATATTTATCGATATGTCTATCTACTTATGTCTATCTATTTATCTAACTATCTATCTGTCTCTCTATTTACCTACATCTATCTATTTTTGTTTATATATTAATCTATCTACCTACATCAATCTATCTGTCTATAGATCTGTTTCATGGTGATACATCTATATTACTATTTATCTGTTTATCTATCAATCTATGTATATGTATATTTATATGTATCCCAGCTTCACTATATGTTTTTATCATAAACACGAGTGGAAAAATCAGGTTAGGTTAGGTTAGGTTAGGTCAGGACAGACTGGGTTAGGTTAGGTGAAGTTATATTAGTTTAGGTCTGCTCAGTTTAGGCTACGATAGGTCAGGTAAGCTTGGGCCAGATTAGGTTAGGTCACGTCAGGTTAAGTCCGGTAACGTTTGGTAACCTTACATCGGGATAGGTTACGTTAAGTCAGGCTAGGTCATGAGATGTTAGGATAGGTTAGGCTAGGTTAAGTCAGGGCAAGTTAATTTAGCTTCAGTAGGTCAGGTCAGGTTAGAATTGGCCTTAAATGCTATACATGAAATACACCTGTACTGTAAGCTAGCTGTAGGACATGACCCCACTTGACCTGACATCCCGGGGGATTACAACTAAAAACTTGTCTTCGTGGGATTTTTCGTTTACGGATTTCGTCCTGTGGGAAATTGTGTAGTGTAATTTTGTTCTAGATTTTGTCCGACTGGATCTGGTTTAATGGAATTTTCCAACTTTCCTTGGCAACATCTCTCACCTAGCCATCAACATCTCTCACCTTCATAGGCAATATCTCTCATTTCAAAAGTCTCTGCCCCTGTCTCCTAGGGTCTATATCCTATCATTAGTTCTCATCTTACCCACCCACTAGTACGTTCCTCATTAGACAGTGGAGAGAGAGAGAGAGAGAGACCTCTAACATCCCTTCCACCACTACCACCATAACTAACATCCTCACATCCACCACCACTACCGCCGACGCTACGAGGCGAGTTAACACCAACATCACGGGTAGGAGTCAGAAGAAATAACAGCCAGTAGCAGGAGCAAGAGTCATGGCTGCAGCACGAGCAAGAGTCAGCGGCTGCAGCAAGAACAAGAGTCAGCAACTGCAGCAGGAGCAAGATGACGGCTGCAGCAGGAACAAGAGTCAGCGGCTGCAGCAGGAGCAAGAGTCAGCAGCTGCAGCAGGAGCAAGAGTCAGCGGCTGCAGCAGGAGCAAGAGTCATGGCAGCAACAAGAGTAAGTCATGAACAGTCAATACAAGTAAAAGGTATCAGCAGCATCAGTCAGCATGAGTGAGGATCAGCACAAGTAAAAGTCCAGGACCATCAAGAGCATGAAAAAGCCAGACTGTGTGCATGAGTAATGATCACCACCACTACCATCACCACCACCACCACTACCATCACCACCACCACTACCATCACCACCACCACTACCATCACCACCACCACTACCATCATTACCACCACTACCATCACACCACCACTACCATCACCACCACCACTACTACCATCACCACCACCTACCATCACCACCACCACTACCATCACTACCACCACTACCATCCACCACCACTGCCATCACCACCACCATTACCATCACCACCACCACTACATCACCACCACCACTACCATCATCCCACCACTACCATCACCACCACCTACCATCACCACTTCAATCACTCTCACCACCACACTATCCACCTGCCACCAAACTACAATCACCATCCACTACCATCACACCATACTAATCACAACCACTGCCAATCACACCACCACTACCATCACCACACCACCACTACCAATCACACCACCACTCAATCACCACCACCATTCCATCACCCCATACCATACCACCACTATCACCACATACCACCCTCCACACTGTCATCCACCACCACCACCAACCATCACCACCACCATCACCACACCATCATATGCCATCTCATAAATCACTGACCCCCACTGACCATACTAACACTTTCCAATCACCACCACCACTACCATCACCACCACCACTACCATCACCACCACCACTACCATCACTACCACCACTACCATCACCACCACCACTGCCATCACCACCACCATTACCATCACCACCACCACTACCATCACTACCACCACTACCATCCTACACCACTATCATCACTACCATCACTACCACCACTACCATCACCACCACCACTACCATCACCACCACCACTACCATCACCAACAACAACACCTGAGCCATGAATATCAGTCACCATGGTGGTATGCATACACCCACCACCACCACTACTACCACTACTTCTGCCACTACCACTACACCACTACCACAACCACCATCGCTACCACCACCACTAATACCACTACTTCTACCACTACCGGTGCTTCTACCACTACCACCACCACAACCACCACTACTACTACTACCTTTACCACTACCAGTGCTTCACCACTACCACCACCACAACCACCACCACTACTACTACTACTTCTACCACTACCACTGCTTTACCACTACCACAACCACCACCGCTACCACCACCACCCCACCGCCGCCACTACCACCACCACCACCACACCACCGCCGCCGCTACCACAGGGAGATGTGGTGAGAGCCATCATAGTGACTGGGGAGATGGAGGAGTAATGGTGTGGGCGGCCCTCAACAACACAGGTCTTCCCACACCTCCTCATGGCCATCACCACCACCATTAACATCACCACCACCACCACCACCACCACCATTAACACCACCATCACCACCACTAACTCTACCACCACCACTAACTCCACCACAACCATCACCATTAACACCACCACTAACTCCACCACAACCATCACCATTAACACCACCACTAACTCCACCACAACCATCACCATTAACACCACCACTAAATCCACCACAACCATCACCATTAACACCACCACTAACTCCACCACAACCATCACCATTAACACCACTACCACCACCACCACCACCATTAACACCACCGCCACTACAGTTAACACCACCACCACCACCACCATCACCACCACTACCTCACCACAACCACCATCATCACCACTAACTCACCACAACCACCACCATTAACATCACCAACAACACTAACACCACCACCATCACAAACACCCCACTAGCACCACCACCACCATCACAAACACCCCCACTAGCACCACCACCACCGTCACTAACACCACCACCACTACCATCGTCACTAACACCACCACCACTAACACCACCACCTTCACCATCGTTACTAGCGCAACCACCACCACCACTGTCATATCACACATGTCATCACCATCACCACCACCCATACAACCACCTCTACCACCACCACCCTTACCACCTTTATCACTATCATCACCACCTTTATCACTATCATCACCACCTCTACCACCATCATCACCACCACCAATCTACCACCACCATCATCACTACCCCTACAAATAAAACCACCACCAGCATCACCCCTACACCCACCACCACCACCAGAAGCAGCAGCAGCAGCAGCAGTCTTAAAGGTGTCCGTGGCGAGGGTCGACTGCCCACCGCCACCAGGGACACGCGGAACAACTACACCACTCCACCGGGATTTCCCTATGATATCACAGCCTTGGTAAAGTGCCACAGGGGAGTAGGAGGGTAGGAGAAATGGGAGTAGGAGGAGGGTTAGGAGAAAGGGGTGGGGATGGGGGTAGGAGGAGGGGGTAGGAAGGAGTGTGTGGGAGGGAGGAAAGGTCCGGAACACACCACCAAGAGCAATCCAACTAACTGAAAGACCTAAGTAACCTTCGTATGTTCGTGTGTGTGTGTGTGTGTGTGTGTGTGTGTGTGTGTGTGTGTGTGTGTGTGTGTGTGTGTGTGTGTGTGTGTGTGTGTGTGTGTGTGTGTGATTTATTTCTGCATGGGAATAAGCAATAACAACCTCACATACATCCAAATTCAACTACATTCAAAACCACAGTGACAAACACAATCACAACAACAAACATGATAACAACAACAATCACAATAACAACAACAACAACCATAGTAACAACCACAACCACGTGGCAAAAGTCGACAACCTTAACGTAACTAAATATGGTTGTACGATCACCAAAACTCTCGCCTCGTAACAGTACTAGACCAGATCTACGGCCGTGCGGCGTGATCCCCAGCACAGCAACACAACTGACTGGCCTCCAACACAGTAACACAGTGTAACATTAACTGGCCTCCATCACAGTCTAACATTAACTGGCTTCCATCACAGTGTAACATTAACTGGCCTCCACCACAGTAACAGTAACTGGCTTCCATCACAGTGTAACATTAACTGGCCTCCATCACAGTGTAACATTAACTGGCTTCCATCACAGTGTAACATTAACTGGCCTCCATCACAGTGTAACATTAACTGGCCTCCATCACAGTCTAACATTAACTGGCTTCCATCACAGTGTAACATTAACTGGCCTCCACCACAGTCTAACATCAACTGACCTCCAACAGAATCTAACATTAACTGGCCTCCAACACAGTCTAACATTAACTGGCCTCCATCACAGTGTAACATTAACTGACCTCCATCACAATCTAGTGTATCATAAATTTCAAATTTCCCCACACCAGTCCACAGCTACAACCAGTTAAGAGATTCCAGTCTCCATAATCTACAATCATTCTACAACTAGGTTCTTCTACACCACCACCACCATGACCCACAAACACACGCAGTGGCACAAACCCTGAAACAAACACCACACATCCTTATCCCTAATCAATCACAACCCTGAAACAAACACCACACATTCTTATCCCTAATCAATCACAACCCTGAAACAAACACCACATCCCATCCCTAATCAATCACAACCCTGAAACAAACACCTCACATCCTTATCCCTAATCAATCACACAATCACAACCCTGAAACAAACACCACACATCCATTCCTAATCAATCACACAATCACACCTGAAATAAACACCACATCCTTATCCTAATCAATCTCACAATCACAACCCTGAAACAAACACCACACATCCTTATCCCTAATCAATCACAACCCTGAAACAAACACCACACATCCTTATCCCTAATCAATCACAACCCTGAAACAAACACCACACATCCTTATCCCTAATCAATCACAACCCTGAAACAAACACCACATCCTTATCCCTAATCAATCACAACCCTGAAACAAACACCACACATCCTTATCCTAATCAATCACAACCCTGAAACAAACACCACACATCCTTATCCCTAATCAATCACACAATCACAACCCTGAAACAAACACCACACATCCTTATCCCTAATCAATCACACAATCACACCTGAAATAAACACCACACATCCTTATCCTAATCAATCTCACAATCACAACCCTGAAACAAACACCACATCCTTATCCCTAATCAATCACAACCCTGAAACAAACACCACATCCTTATCCCTAATCAATCAAACCCTGAACAAACACCACACATCCTTATCCCTAATCAATCACAACCCTGAAACAAACACCACATCCTTATCCCAATCAATCACAACCCTGAAACAAACACCACATCCTATCCCTAATCAATCACAACCCTGAAACAAACACCACACATCCTATCCCTTAATCAATCACACAATCACAACCCTGAAACAAACACCACACATCCTTATCCTAATCAATCACACAATCACAACCCTGAAACAAACACCACATCCTTATCCTAATCAATCACACAATCGCAACCTGAAACAAACACCACACATCTTATCCCAATCAATCACACAATCACACCCTGAAACAAACACCACATCCTTATCCCTGATCAATCACAACCCTGAAACAAACACCTCACATCCTTATCCCTAATCAATCACAACCCTGAAACAAACACCACACATCCTTATCCCTAATCAATCACAACCCTGAAACAAACACCACACATCCTTATCCCTAATCAATCACACCCTAACATACCCTAATCATCATACACCATTTGCAGTCACCCTATTACACCCTAACCAGTTACTGTACATATTAATACTAACAGTTTAAATTTATTCATTCTTGCAACCAACGCCTTGACTGTAATCATCCTATCCACTCGTGACCCTTAAAAATCGCCCTACCACACCCTGACCCCCCAAAGTTATTCTACCACACGTTGACCCCAATATTCACCCTGTTTCCATCTCCTGACCCCAATATTCATCCTTGTTTCCATCTCCCTGACCTCCAATATTCACTCTGTTTCCATCTCCCTGACCCCAATATTCATCCTGTTTCCCCTCTGACCCCAATATTCACCCCGTTTCCATCTCCCTGACCCCAATATTCACCCCGTTTCCATCTCCCTGACCCCAATATTCATCCCGTTTCCATCTCCCAGACTCCAAAAGTCAACCTGATCACACATCACCCTGCCACGCCCTGACCTCAAAAGTCACCCACCCTAGCCGCCTCCTGCCCAATATATCCTCCCTTACTCCAGAGAGTTTTGGTGGGTGGGGGTAGGAGGGAGATGGGAAGGGGAAGGTTACTTGAGACTAATAGCTAGTTGCAACCACTAGGAAGAAACCTAATTGGGTAATTTCTGACGGCAGCTCACCACCCAACCTCTAACTAGCACTAGCCAAACTTGTTGATAAACACCATGAAAATGCGAACTAAAACACGTGTCTGAGAGTAATTATACAGCCTCTATAAATACATCAACTAACACACGTAACTGAGACCAATGATACACCTAAAAATAACTCATTGAGATTAAACAGAGAAGAGTGATTTGTGATTTTGTTTTCCTATTTTATAATAATTATCTAAATCGTTTATTTGCATAATTATTATTATTATTTTTATTATTATTATTATTATTATTATTATTATTATTATTATTATTATTATTATTATTATTATTATTATTATTATTATTATTATTTTATTATTATTATAATTATTTATTATTATTATTAGTAGTAGTAGTAGTAGTAGTAGTAGTACTGTACCTCCATAATAGTCATCCTTCATAGAGACAGTCTTCCGTTCCATAGTCTGACACAGCGCTCACTTATAATCCTCATCATGGCTTAAAGGAGCCCTACCAGCCCTAATCTATTAGCCTCTACAAGCCCCCAGCCCACTCTCTACGAAACCTTGGCGTCACAGACTAAAGCAGCCACTCACCACCGCCCCCACCCCTGTCTCATCCCAGAAGCCCTCAGTACCATAGTCTGATTACACCTCACCATCCTTCCTCCCTTATCTCACCCCTCATCCCACCAGCAGTAGCCCTCAGTACCATAGCCAGGGCAAGCTCCTTCCTCACCCTCATCCCACCAGCAGTAGCCCTCAGTACCATAGCCAGGGGCAGCTCCTTCCTCACCCTCATCCCACCAGCAGTAGCCCTCAGTACCATAGGCAGGGGCAGCTCCTTCCTCACCCTCATCCCACCAGCAGTAGCCCTCAGTACCAGCCAGGGGCAGCTCCTTCCTCACCCTCATCCCACCAGCAGTAGCCCTCAGTACCATAGGCAGGGGCAGCTCCTTCCTCACCCTCATCCCACCAGCAGGCCTCAGTACCAGGCAGGGCAGCTCCTTCCTCACCCTCATCCCACCAGCAGTAGCCCTCAGTACCATAGGCAGGGGCAGCTCCTTCCTCACCCTCATCCCACCAGCAGTAGCCCTCAGTACCAGGCAGGGGCAGCTCCTTCCTCACCCTCATCCCACCAGCAGTAGCCCTCAGTACCATGCAGCCCAGGGGCAGCCCTCTCACCCTCATCCCACCAGCAGTAGCCCTCAGTACCATAGCCAGGGTAGCTCCTTCCTCACCCTCATCCCACCAGCAGTAGCCCTCAGTACCATAGGCAGGGGCAGCTCCTTCCTCACCCTCATCCCACCAGCAGTAGCCCTCAGTACCATAGGCAGGGCAGCTCCTCCTCACCCTCATCCCACCAGCAGTAGCCCTCAGTACCATAGGCAGGGCAGCTCCTTCCTCACCCTCATCCCACCAGCAGTAGCCCTCAGTACCATAGCCAGGGGCGCTCCTTCCTCACCCTCATCCCACCAGCAGTAGCCCTCAGTACCATAGGCAGGGGCAGCTCCTTCCTCACCCTCATCCCACCAGCAGTAGCCCTCAGTACCATAGGCAGGGGCAGCTCCTTCCTCACCCTCATCCCACCAGCAGTAGCCTCAGTACCATAGCCAGCAGCTCCTTCCTCACCCTCATCCCACCAGCAGTAGCCCTCAGTACCATAGCCAGGGCAGCTCCTCCCTCACCCTCATCCCACCAGCAGTAGCCCTCAGTACCATAGCCAGCAGCCTTCCTCACCCTCATCCCACCAGCAGTAGCCCTCAGTAATAGCCAGGGGCAGCTCCTTCTCACCCTCATCCCACGCAGCAGGCCCTCAGTACCATAGCCAGGCAGCTCCTTCTCACCCTCATCCCACCAGCAGTAGCCCTCAGTACCATAGCCAGGGGCAGCTCCTTCCTCACCCTCATCCCACCAGCAGTAGCCCTCAGTACCATAGGCAGGGGCAGCTCCTTCCTCACCCTCATCCCACCAGCAGTAGCCCTCAGTACCATAGCCAGGGTCAGCTCCTCCTCACCCTCATCCCACCAGCAGTAGCCCTCAGTACCATAGCCAGGGCAGCTCCTCCTCACCCTCATCCCACCAGCAGTAGCCCTCAGTACCATAGCCAGGGGCAGCCCTTCCTCACCCTCATCCCACCAGCAGTAGCCCTCAGTACCATAGCCAGGCAGCTCCTCACCCTCATCCCACCAGCAGTAGCCCTCAGTACCATAGCCAGGGGCATCCTCCCTCACCCTCATCCCACCAGCAGTAGCCCTCAGTACCATAGCCAGGGGCAGCTCCTCCCTCACCCTCATCCCACCAGCAGTAGCCCTCAGTACCACAGCCAGGGCAGCTCCTCCTCACCCTCATCCCACCAGCAGTAACCCTCAGTACCATAGCCAGGGGCAGCTCCTCCCTCACCCTCATCCCACCAGCAGTAACCTCAGTACCATAGCCAGGGCAGCTCCTCCCTCACCTCATCCCACCAGCAGTAACCCTCAGTACCATAGCCAGGCAGCTCCTCCTCACCATCCCACCAGCAGTAGCCCTCAGTACCATAGCCAGGGCAGCCCTCACCCTCATCCCACCAGCAGTAGCCCTCAGTACCATAGCCAGGCAGCTCCTTCCTCACCTCATCCCACCAGCAGTAGCCCTCAGTACCATAGCCAGGGGCAGCTCCTTCCTCACCCTCATCCCACCAGCAGTAACCTCAGTACCATAGCCAGGGCAGCTCCTCCTCACCTCATCCCACCAGCAGTAGCCCTCAGTACCATAGCCAGGGGCAGCTCCTCCCTCACCCTCATCCCACCAGCAGTAGCCCTCAGTACCATAGCCAGGGGCAGGCCCTCTGCAGCGGCACAATAGGACGAGTTGGCTAGAGAAGGCGAGAACTCTTGAAGCATCAGCTGGGAATATTGACCCCTGCCGCCCCACCCACAGGCTCCTCGACTCCCGGACTGCTGCTGCTGCTGATGCTACTGCTGCTGCTGCCCATCCTGCCGTAGGCGTTACTGTTGCCTCTCCTATTGCACTTCTGTTTCCTATTATTTTACAGCGGCCACTGCCTCTCTTACTATAACCGTCTTCCATACTCCTCCCCCCGCTACCACCACCACCACCACCACTACTACTGCTGCTGTTCTTACTGTTGCTGCTACTGCTGTTGTGTGCTCCTCCCCCAAGTCCTCCTTACCATTGCAGGTTCCTACTCATCCCTGGGTACAGTAGCCGTTTCCAGCTTTGAGTTTATCTTGGCGTGTGTATGTGTGTATGTGTGTGTATGTGTGTGTGTGTGTGTGTGTGTGTGTGTGTGTGTGTGTGTGTGTGTGTGTGTGTGTGTGTCTCTCCAACTAAGCTAGACGCCCTCCCTCTCCTGGTAGGGGTGTCGCTGTGGTGTACTGTTGATAATATCATTACTAGCGTCGACCTCTCATGTTCCCAGTCCATTTTGACAATTATGTATTTTTATATTTCATTGGTTTTACGGTTTTTATGTGTTTTTTCTTCAATATTTCCAGTTTTTGTATTAGGTTGGAGTGGGTTCACATTCTTAGTTTTATTTAGACGATTAGGGGAGTGTGAGTAGAGGTATGGTTTTGTTTGCATAAGAGTTAAAGGCGTCGTGGTTTTGTTTGGTAATAGTTAAAGGCGTCGTGGTTTTGTTTGGTAATAGTTAAAGGCGTCGTGGTTTTGTTTCTGAACGAGTAAAGGCGTCGTGGTTTTGTTTCTGAACGAGAGCAGTCGTCGGTTTTGTTTGGTAATAGTTAAAGGCGTCGTGGGTTTTGTTTCTGAACGAGTAAAGGCGTCGTGGTTTTGTTTGGTAATAGTTTAAGGCGTCGTGGTTTTGTTTCTGAACGAGTAAAGGCGTCGTGGTTTTGTTTGGTAATAGTTAAAGGCGTCGTGGTTTTGTTTGGTAATAGTTAAAGGCGTCGTGGTTTTGTTTGACATGAGTTTAATTCGTGGTTTTGTTTTAGGACGAAGAAAATAAGTGTTGTTTGACGATCCTCTCTGGTGTGTTCTCGAGGTTGTTCCGATTTATTTATTTATTTATTTATTTATTTATTTATTTATTTTCTTTCGTGAAATTTCAGGATGTATTTCTTACGTCTTCATGGTGCGATAGACTGACTCTCTCTCTCTGTCTTTTTCTCACGCTCTCTCTGTCTGTCTGTTTCTTTACTTGTCCCTGTCTCTCTGTCTGCCTGCCTCTCTATCAGTCTGTCAGTCTGTCTGTCTGTCTGTCTTTTTTCTTTATATATCTTTTTCTACATGTCTGTCTGTCTGTCTGTGTGTTTGTATAATACCATGAAGATTTAATACAATTCATACATGGGCTCTGATCACAGTGTTGTCACCATCATTCACCATCAACAGTAAGCCTCAACACATTGTCATTATCACTATCACAAGGCTCCTACACACTATCACCATCAGTGTGTGTGTGAGGGGGGAGATAGGGAGGAGGAGACAGGGGAGAACGGGAGTTTATCCTCGATCTCTTGGGGGGGAGATGGGTGGGAAGAAGGGGGTGGGAAATACGGAGGTGAGAAGGATTCTGGTGAGGGATGGGAACGGCTGGCTGTGTGTCTAGGTGAGGGGGGTGTTGAGGAGAAGTCCGTCTGAATTTGTTGAGGGAGGGAGGGAACACACACACACACACACACACACACACACACACACACACACACACACACACACACACACACACACACACACACACACACACACACACACACACACACACACACACACACTGTGCAAAACTAAGCTCCGGATCAGGGTTAGTTAGGTTAACTTTGATTACGTTCGGCCTAAGTCAGGTTTGGTTAGATTAAGATGAAGGTAAGTTTGGTTTAGTTAGGCTAGGAGTAAGGTTGTTACGTTAGATGTAGCTGTGGTTTGGTTAGGTTAGGTTAGGTGAAGTGGTGGTGGTTAGGGTGTGTGTAGTGTGGTAATGGTGGTGAGGGTGGTAGGTGGTAATGGTGGTGAGGTGGTAATAGTGGTGAGGGTGTAGTGTGGTAATGGTGGTGATGGTGGTAATAGTGGTGAGGGTGGGTAATAGGTGGGTGAGGGTGAGGTGGTGGTGGTTAGGTGGCAGTGATAATGGTGGTGAAGGTGGTAATTAGTGGTGAGGGTGGTAGTGTGGTAATAGTGGTGAGGGTGTGGTAATAGTGGTGAGGGTGTGGTAATAGTGGTGAGGGGGTAGTGTGTAATGGTGGTGAGGGTGTGGTAATAGTCGTGAGGGTGTGTAGTGGTAATGGGTGATGGTGTGGTAGTGGTAATAGTGGTGAGGGTGTGGTAGTGTGGTAATGGTGGTGAGGGGTGAGGTGGTGGTGGTTAGGGGTGTGGCAGTGTGGTAATAGTGGTGAGGGGTGGTAATAGTGGTGAGGTGTGGTAGTGTGGGTAATGGTGGTGAGGTGAGGTGGTGGTGGTTAGGGGTGTGTGTGGTAATGGTGGTGAGGGTGTGGTGGTGTGGTAATAGTGGTGAGGGTGGTAGTGTGGTAATAGTGGGTGAGGGTGTAATAGTGGTGAGGGTGGTGTGGTAATGGTGGTGAGGGTGGTAATAGTCGTGAGGTGTGGTAGTGTGGTAATAGTGGTGAGGTGTGGTAGTGTGGTAATGGTGGTGAGGGTGTGGTAGTGTGGTAATAGTGGTGAGGTGAGGTGGTGGTGGTTAGGGTGTGGTGGTGTGGTAATTGGTGAGGTGTGGTAGTGTGGTAATAGTGGGTGAGGTTTTGGTAGTGTGGTAATGGTGGTGAGGGTGTGGTAATAGTGGTGAGGGTGTGGTAATAGTGGTGAGGGTGTGGTAATAGTGGTGAGGGTGTGGTTGTGTGGTAATAGTGGTGAGGGTGTGGTAATAGTGGTGGTGGTACCCTGGCGAGGAACACCCACCTCTGGCAACACTTGTACACGCACTAAAAATAACACCAGTAATCTAAGGAGGGTTGCAACACCGCATATTTCTTCCGCGTTTACATAACTACGTCTACAGTTGCTTTGTGACGGTCTGTTGTTTCGGTCTATACTCTATTGTAACGGCCTGTATGGCGGTCTGTTGTTACGGTCTATACTCTATTGTAACGGCCTGTATGGCGGTCTGTTGTTACGGTCTATACTCTATTGTAACGGCCTGTATGGCGGTCTGTTGTTACGGTCTATACTCTATTGTAACGGCCTATATGACGGTCTGTGTGATAGTCTGAGTGATGGTCAGTGACGAGTATAGGGCGAGTGACGATCTGTATTCACAAGAGTGTCTGCAGTAACAATATAGGCGACAGAACAGAGCTTACACTTTACCATAACCAGATAAGTCCATTCATCTCTAAATTAATGAGAACATATCAAAGGCGCTTTAATTTTGAGGCAATCCTGAGCCAGAGTCTTCAGCACCACTGTACCTACTTCCCAATAACTCTTACAAGTAGTCACAGCTCATAAGAGCGGCCATCACTGAGAGACGGCTGGCCCAGGGGTGGTAGAGGAGGAGGAGGAGGAGGAGAAGGAGGAGAAGAAAGAGGAGGAGGAGGAGAAGGAGGAGAAGAAAGAGGGGGAGGAGGAGGAGAGGAAAGAGGAGGAGGAAGGAACTTATAGCCTTAATAAACCTGCGGCTGATTTAACCCGTGATATCCTTAAGCGATGTCCCCACTAACTGATGGCCCCATTAACCGACACTTCCATTAATAGGGCCAAAGATGAAGTCAGAGAGCTGGACCCGGAGCTGTGGCTCATCCCGGGGGCGGCCCCCCACCGAGGCAATAGAGGCCACCACGATATAAGACACTCCTAGTGTTACCACACACCCCGGCACAGGGGGAAATTCCCGTAATAACTTTCCCCAAATTGCTCTTTAAAATAACTCCTGGTGGCCGTTCGCCTTTCAATATATTTCATAAACTCAACAAATAATACAGATAATACGAGGATATCACCCATCTATACAACAAAATACACTGCCGAGTAAAAAAATACAATGCGGGGATGGTAAAGGTGACACGACCGTCTCTGGCAACTGTGAAGATACTGGTCGACAAATGGCGGGAATTTATTACTGCGCGCGATCGTCTGGGTGCACCGGGTAGCCACTTCACTTGTTTATGTGGCTCTTTGACGCCCACCTTCCGGGATTTCGACCACCGAGACTTGATTTAACATTGATCTTGAATTAGAAACGGACTCTAATGAATATAACGCCAGGAATTTTTTCCACTAACTAGACTTTCTGAATTGAGTACGGGGAAGCCCCAGTTAGGTTATCTTACTGACGGAAAAATAATGGTGTAGATGACTGTGATTGGGTAGTGAATGATGACGTGGATGGCTGCGATTGGGTGATGGCTACAACAATAACGACTTTGACGACATGACAAAATGTAAAATGATGACT